CACACACACACACACACACACACACACACACACACTGCTAGTTTATTTAACATGCAGATGATCTCACAACATTAAGAAATTAAACTAAAATATCTTTAAGAGAAGCATTTAATATGATAAAGTTGGGTGTTTTCAGACTCTAAGTTCAGTGCACTGCTTCTGTACTGTTCTGGTCGTTATCCATGTTTGTTTATTTTATGTAAGTTTCACATTTCAGTTTATTCAGAGGAAAGTGTGCTTACACCCTTCAGTTCCAGCGAATGGAGCTAGAATGAGTTAACGATGCAGTGGAGGATTGTTATGTGACATCTGTATTTGTACAATAAAAACAGCTCTATCAGTCATTCTGTGTGTTTGTGGCAAGAAGAGATAAATTGTGAGACAGCAGAAGACAGTAATTTCTTTTTCCCCTTTCTGGTAATAAGTAGAATTCTTGTGAATTACTGATATTTGGTGGCTTTAAATGGGAAAACTATTTGAGGCTTCTGTAAAAAGGTCTTCAAAAATAGTCATCGGAGTGTTTGTCTTGTCTGATTACTCATTTTTTAACCCCATTTTCTTCAGTTAATTTTGAACTTTTTACTTTAATATGGATTAAAGCAGCAAGTTGCATGAAGCTTGAGGCTTATTTACTACTTTAACCTCACTAATCTTCTCTAATGTTTGTTTTATATTCAGCTGATTTTTATGCTACTGTTTGGGTGACAACCTTGACTGACAGTATTAACCGTGAGTGTGAGCCGACGTCTTCATTTCAGAACTCAGTCTGTCAGACAGACGTGGTTGGGTGCTTCAACTTGTTGAAACTTTTGTTAAACTTTTAAAGTTCAGAGTCCAAGTTGACTTTAAGGAACGTGCTTTTAGCAGAACTTCAGATAAACCTGCAGAATTTTTTAAATAGAATAATATGAGAAACTTTTAAGTTTTTGTCCACAAAATGACAAAAGACAACTGATTGTGAGTTTTGTTGTTGCGGCCCAAAGCTGAACATTTTTTTCTYCCCCTCTCTGCAGCCGACTAACAGAAAGTGTATGCTGCCTCTCACTGTGACCTTCCTGCCACCACCATGAGCTGGAGCTTCCTGACACGCTTGCTGGAAGAAATTCACAACCACTCCACATTCGTGGGCAAGATCTGGTTAACCGTCCTCCTCGTTTTCCGCATCGTTCTGACGGCCGTTGGCGGCGAGTCCATCTACTACGACGAGCAGAGCAAGTTCGTCTGCAACTCTGGCCAGCCGGGCTGCGAGAACGTCTGCTACGACGCCTTCGCGCCGCTGTCGCACGTCCGCTTTTGGGTCTTCCAAACCATCCTGGTGGCCACGCCTTCGCTCATGTATCTGGGCTACGCTGTCAACAAAATCGCCCGGGCGGAGGAGCRGGCGAACGGTGGGGGCTCGAGCAGAAGTTCGCAGAACAAATCAAAGAAGTCTTATCTCGCGGGCAGAAAACAGCACAGGGGCGTCGAAGAGGCTGAGGATGACGACGACGAAGAAGATCCGATGATCTATGAGGCGACAGAGGAGGGTAGTGATGCGGGCGGACCCGCAAAGGGAGGCGGCAGTGAGAAACACGTGAAAGTCAAGGTTCGGCACGATGGGCGCCAGCGTATCAAAGCAGATGGACTGATGCGCATTTATGTCATCCAGCTGTTGGCCCGCTCGGTCCTGGAGGTGGCTTTTTTATGTGGCCAGTACGTGCTGTATGGATTCGCCGTCCCCGCCAGATTCGTGTGCTCAGACCTGCCCTGCCCTCACAGCGTGGACTGCTTCGTGTCTCGACCCACCGAGAAAACCATCTTCCTCCTCATCATGTACACCGTCTCCCTGCTCTGTCTGGCCCTCAACGTATGGGAGATGCTCCACCTGGGCGTCGGCACCATCTGCGAGATCGTGCGTTCTCGCCGGCTGCCGCTCCCTGATGATGAGCTGTACGGACTCACCAGGAGAAACAAAGCTCTCAGCGAGGGAGGACTGAGTGGCGACGACTACACCAGCTACCCCTTCACCTGGAACGCACCGTCAGCCCCACCGGGGTACAACATCGCCGTCAAGCCTCTTCTAGTGTCTAAAGGGAACCACAATGCACCTCTACCCATCAGCGACCTCACTAATGCCAAGATCACGTGCCGACAGAACCACGTGAACATTGCCCAGGAGGAACGTCAGCAGTGCACCAATTTTGATGGGAGAGGAGATGCCTCCAGAAATGCTCAGGACTTGGGTCAGACCCAGAACAAGCTGAAGGCCGATAACCAAGCCTACAGTCRGCTGCAGAGCCACAATAACAACCACAGCAGGCCTAATCGCGAACGTAAACACCGGCACGCCTCCAGACAYGCCTCCAGCAAGGCAGAGACCGACGGGGGCAGCAGCAGCACCAGCRTTAGCAGCAAATACGGCGTGATGAAGGGTTCAGAGTGGATCTGAAGCACAGGTTTCTACTTCTGCAAAGGATTTACTGGCAGAAAATTTACATTTCTGTATCTGTACAAAACAGATGACAACAGGGTGACCAATTTATAATARTTTCAGTTTTATTTGAGCAATAAAATGAAAAGCAGATGTTATTTTTCCCACCTATCTGAACTTACAAGGGGTAATAAACAGGAAATTTCATGCAGCTACTTCAMACTAATTGGCTCTAATGCTGAACTGAAACCGTTTACACAAGTAAACGTGTGTCTTAAAAATAAAATAAAGCTTTCCACCTCAGGGAGACATCTAAAATATTCAAATTTAGTATTATAGAATTTGTTATAAGTAACAGTTTATATTTTAAAGGTTTTATGTCCTACAGTGAAGAGAAAGATTTTTTGCTAACACATTATACAGCTAGGAATACCGGTAAYGTGATTGTAAAATAAATAGATTATTTAGTTCAGAGTTAGCCTCCAAAACAATTAGTACTTTTTTAGCAGTAAGTTGAAGTTTTGTGTGGCGTATTTCTTTAAGATGCCTAATTTTTTTATTTTATTTTACATGAAGAACGATRGCTTTTTGTTAGCAGAGGCCTTTTTGTTGTAGTTTAAGTGCCTTTCTTGTTGAACTGCTCACAGTGACTCTACATTACTTATTTAAATTAGTTTTGTTTAAACTCTTCATCGTTGTAGATACTAGGACTAACTGTTTAAAATTCCATTTCAAGAAAAAATAAAGTTTTTCCTATTTTCATGAATCCAACTTTTGTACAGATCTTCTGGTGCCATAAAGGTAAAACAAAATCATTTCAGTTGTTGACATTTTTTATTTGTTATGACAGATTTTTTTATTCTCATTTGACATATTTGTAAATCAAATCATTTATTAAACAGACCTTTCTTTTTATATTGTTCAAAAAAAATTCAGCCATTCGTATTTCAGTTGTGTTTCAAATATTAGTTTAGTTTATAACAAACAGAATATTCACTTTGTATTGTTTCTTGCCTGGTTTAAATTGACTTTGATTTTTAAACTTAAAAGTCATTCAGGCTTGTTTGCAGTTCACTGTCAATGTTTAGTTTTGTAGCACTTTTTCTGATTAAAAAGTGCATATTTGGAATAAAAAGTTTGTATTTCTCTATTTTTGTGTGGTCTTTTGTGATGCAGTAGGCCGTTTTGTTAGCAATGAAGCAATTTGTTAGTTGTGGGGTGCCACAGGGCTCGGTCCTTGGATCAATACTCTTTCTTCTGTATGTTAAC